AAAGAACGGCAGGCTGCCTGCTCCTCCATCGTTAGTCTTCCCCTAGAAAATCACTATTATAATTTTGGCAAGAAGCTAAGGTGTGCAGACCCTACTGGAGTGGTGACTTGTGGTTGAAGTCCACAATGACTCCTGGAGAGAATGAAACCTCGTGACTGCAAGCTGCCTCCCGAGTTCCCTGGCTGCCTGAACGTTATGTCTTTCATATCCCGCAAGGCAGTGCTTACATAAAGACGAACTCTTCCCATATAATCCCCCACAGAAAACTTCCAGGCACGTAACTGAAAAGGAAAACATCCCCGCCACACAACCTGGAAGCAACCAGGAGCCTGAGCTGTCCCCAGCTCAGGGCGGGACGGTCTGAGGGACAGTGCACGGTCTGCTTGGGGCTTAGGGAACAGCTCATTTAGCTGCTTTGTGCCTCATTTTACTGATGTGAGTGTAAGTTTAACAAAAGTACCCATTTCATAGTGTAATTGTGAGGATTAAATGACCTGGCATGTGCAAAGCATTAAGATAAAGGAACTCAAGTTGGTGATCACCATCATCACTGTATTCCATGTCCCTGTCAAAGACTGAGTGATATGATTTTGTCTACACAGTGGTAGGCGGGGAACCATTAGGCTTCCCTATGACCATCATCCAGAGATATGAGGCTGGAGGAGATGATAATGCCCTAAAAGGGGCATTGTGCAAACACCTGCTCTGACTCCCCTGCCTGGGGCCCCGAGGGTGCATTGGCTGCTCTGGGAGAAGGGAAGGAAATGAGACGGCTAGGCTGAGGGCAGATATGCTGAAGTTGGATCCTGGCTACGCTATTGATCGGCCAAGTACCTGGGAACAAATCATTCCAACCCTTTCGGCCTCTGTTCCTGATCTATAAAATGACAAGGTGTTAAGGCTCCTTCCTACTTCAGCTCAATGCTTTGAGATGGTCCTTTCTTCTCTCTCCTTTTAAAGCTACTTACTATTATTCTTTTTTCTTTTTTAATTGAAGTATAGTTGATTTACAATGTTGTGTTAGTTTCTAGTGTACAGCATAGTGATTCAGTTATACATTCCTTTTCACATTCTGTTTCAATATAGGTTATTATAAGATATTGAATATAGTTCCCCATCCCCTTTCCCTGCTGGTAACCATAAGTTTGTTTTCTATATCTGTGAGTTTGTTTCTGCTCATTTGTGTCATTTTTATTTTTACATTCCACATGTAAGTGAGATCATATGGTATTTGTCTTTCTCTTTCTGGCTTACTTCACTTAGTATGATAATCTCTAGGTCTATCCAAGTTGCTGCAAAGGGCATTATTTCATTCTTTTTTATGGCTGAGTAGTATTCCATCATGTATATATGTGTGTGTGTGTACACATACATACATACATACCACATCTTTTTATCTAATCATCTGTTGATGGACATTTAGATTGCTTCCATGTCTTGGGTTTTGTAAATAGTTAAAGCTACTTACTATTTAATAACAGCATGTTCTTATAGTTTGTCTCCAAAATTTAGCTTGAATCTGTTTGCTTTGTTCCATCTCTGCTGCCACATTCTCTATCCAGACCATCATTTTCTGCCTGGACCTCTGCTATCGCCTCCCGACTCAGCTCCCTGCTTCTGCTTCCTTCCAAAGTCTTTCCAAACAGCACCGATAGCAGTCTGTTTAAAAATGTCACTCTCAAGCTTAATGCCCTCAATATCTTTTTTTTATACCTAGGATAAAATATAGATTCCTTCCATGATCTACAGGCTGCCACATGGTCTGGCTTCTGCCCATATCACTTTATCTGATGCCACTTACTCTCTTTCACTATAATTCAACCCAGCCCTCGCACCAGTTTCTGGAACACACCGAGCTCTTTTCCACCTCACACTGTTCCCTTAGCCTGAAATTTACTTGCCACCCTGCACAGGGTTGTCGCTTCATAATTTTCAGTTCTCAGCTTAACTTCCAGCTTCTCAGCCAGGCCCTCCCTAACCATCGCTATCAAAACAGATTCTCTCCTTGCTTTTCCATCTTAGCTTCTTGTTTGTTTTCTTCTTAACGTTCAGCCACAGCTTCACTTCCTTTATTTGTTTACGTCTTTTTAAAATTTGTTTCCTTCACTAGAATACAGGCTCTGTGAACACAGAGACTGCTTTTCTGTCTTGCTCACTGTTTTATTACCACTACCTAATGCAGAAGGCACATAATAAACGTTTGTTGACTAAATAAGTGATGAACCTCACTCTGCAGATAAATTCCTTCAGAATACATGACTGTCAGCCTGAATCCACGCCCTTCCTGGTTCTGGAAGAGTGTTTCTGAGGGAGGCCTGAACTTGGTCTAGGGCAGCATTTCAATCTGTATCACCTGTTGTCTATTTGAAGTCCCAGCTTTTGACAGCCAGCTGGACCATTCTTGTTTCCTGGCGTGGCAGCCTGTGGAAACTGTCAGAATACTTTCAAAAACCCTGATAGACTTCTATATTTAGACCTTTTCTAATTTAGGACTCTCTGGTTTGCAAATAATATGAAGAAACTTCAGCTCTTAGGAAAAAAAGGCCGAACCCCAGAACCTGATCACCATCCTGTCACTGGTGGCAGGCCCATGGCTCCTGGCTAGACTTGAACTTCTGAAAAGTGACCAGGCTGCATTTTCATACAGTAAGAGTATTTACTCACCAATCTCATTTCAGTTTTACTTATATTCCCTCTCCAAGACAGGCAAATATGTTTCCTCCCATTTTGCAGATGGAAAAGTTGAGAAATGAAGGTTTTCCAAGGCCGATTAATTAGATTTCATACTAGTTTGTGAGCTCTTGAAGTCCAGGGTTATATATCCATTTTATATTTATATTTTCTCAAGTTACTAAGAGGGATTCTTGGTACTGAGATACAGTTAAATGTAAATAATTGAGAGGGTGAATCTAGGTTAGTGTTTTTGGTTTAATTTAAATGGGCTAATAATTGTAATTTTCTTTATTTGAAGTTTGATTTCTTTTAGTCTAAAATTATAATATTACTTGGCATTTTAGTCTAAAAGTTTCTTTTAGTTTAAAAGAAACCAGGCTTCAAATGAGGAAAATTATGAATATTAGCCCACTTAAATTATACCTATAACACTAATCTGATTTAATTTAGGCCTTGTTTTCCTCCCCCTGCTCCCCCTGACCCCCCGAAATAAGTACATGGTGTGAAAATTTTGGGGGTCTCCAGTGAAAATTCTGCTGGAATATTGAGGAGTGGGTTTGGTTTTTCAGGTCAAGAACCATAAACAGATCTGTGCTTAGAACTCCATGGTCTGCTTGTTGGAATTTATCCAAGGGAAATAATTCAAAAGAGGAAAGAAAAAATGTACGTAAGAACTTTAGCATTATTTAAAATAAGAAACAAATCTGAGACCATTTACAGGTCCAAAAACATGTCCAAGTAAATCATGGTGTATCTCATAGGCTATTGGACAGGCATAAATCAACTGTGAATATTATGTAGTAACACTGAAATATGGAAGAATGCTTACCAACTATTTTAAGATAAAAAAACACAGTATATTTGTGTGCGCTAATCACAGCTGGGTGAAAGTAAGTTCATATGCATCAGGAATAGACAGATTGCCCAGAAATGTAAAGGCCTATATGTTAGGGATGTAGGTACATTTTATAATTTTCCTTTCATGTTATTATATTACACATCAACCAACATGATTTCATTTTACAATAAAAACTCAAAATTATAAGACACTGAGAGTCTCATTGAGGAGGTTCATGATTGGCTCTACTTGGATACTTTTTGGGTAATATCTTCCTTATATTGGTATCATTTGGTTTGGGCATCGTTCTTCTAGAATAAACCCAGTTTTTATTCTTTTCAAAATTATTTTCAGAATTATCAATGTATTAAGCTATTCTAAGTTCATGGTACATTATTTCTTAAGGAGCCTCTTTGATTAAAGCATAATACTGAGTCATATCACGTCTGGTGTGCTGGTCTAGGGTCCGAAGTTCTCACTGTCACTGTGCTTCTAACAGTCCAGTGAACTTGGAAAAGATGTTTAACTTCTGTGGGCTTGGTCATTTGTTAGCTGACCTTCTCAGACTATGATCTTTCAAGATCTCCTTAACATTATATTAATCTGTGAATATAAATTTTTATTTCAAACTTACTTTTCCTAAGTCTGTGCTTTGTCAAATAACATATCTGAGCTCTGAAATTAGGCATGATTGTTTTCAGACAATTTTAATGGAGTCCTAACTCTGGAAAGAGATTCCCAAGAAGTCAGATTAAAATCCCCATATCTTTGACATTTCATCTTTGCATTTGCTGCTTTGGGGAGGTGTATTATTTTTGACCTTCCAATAAGGGATTTCCTGTGTTCAAGACTTGTCATCTGTATCTCTAGTGAGATGGTTCTCAATTTTAAGTATACATCAAAATCCCCTGGAAGGCTTGTTAAAACACAGATTGCCAGGCTTCAACCCCAGAGTTTCTGATTCAGAAAGTATGGCGTCAGACCTGAGAGTCTGCATTTCTAATAAATTCCAGCTGATGGCAATTACACTGGTCTGGGGACCATACTTTGAGGACCTCAGCTCTGGAGAAACACTTCAGTGGCAGCACAAGGAGGCATGTAGAATGGGCATGCTGTACTTACAGTGCTGTTATAAATTGCAGAGTATTAGAAGCCACTTAAATGACTAACAGTAGGTGGATAGCCACATAAACTGGTAATATTCATTCTGTGGTATATTATATAGCAAGTAAAAAAGAATCAGGTAGCTATAATCATGCCACCATGTAGTGGTAAGAATGTTAGCTCTAGAGTCAGATCGCCTGTGTTTGGAAACAGCTCTTCCACATTGAAGAAAATGAAAATCTGCATTATGACTTTAATATGTCAGAGTCATTTTATTTTACTCATAAAACAACTCTTTAAATGCATTTAAAGGGGATCTGCAATTGTTGAGTTAATAAGAACCAGATCAATGAAGTTAAAGAGTCAGTGGGAAAATCATCAGGAGGTCAGGGGTGACAGGTTCTACAGTAAATATTCTGACAAATGTGTATTTTTATATTTAACAAGCATTCATGGTCTCAAGGTTATAAGTCAAAGTCCTTGGCTTTATTAAAGCTCTTTGCCTTTTGTAACAAGCAGACTAACAATTTAAAATGCATGCTGTCAAGATTCAAAGTAATTACAGATTTATTTGACCTTTATGATTATTGGAATTTAAATATTTACCGACCTTTCTTCTTATCTATCAAAAAAAAAGGCTAATTGTTAATTCATCGCATTACACTGGGAAAGCACTTTCATCTGAAGGCTCCTACTACTGAAGCTGATGACTTCTTGTTTCAGCTTAATCTTGGTCAAGTGTAATTTAAAATATTTGGGGCTATAATTTTTAACTGTATGTCGACTACAAGCTGTGTAGCTGTAGAGGCAGCTTTCTCCATCTCTCTCTGTGCTTCTCATCCTTCTGTGAGATGATGATAATAGTACCCACTTCAAGGGGTTGCTGTGAGGATTAAAGGAGAGAATATGTGTCAGTATTTGGCACAACATTTGGCACAAACCTGCTACCGTTAAACATGGGAAGAGTGTTCTAAGGCACAGTGAGTCAAAAACAAATCAAGTTGTAGAAGAATGATACTACCAGTATGATACTATTTATATAAAAAATGCTCAAAACAATTCTGAATGCTTTACATGCACGTAAACATGAAGAACAAAATCTGGAAGAATATATTGCAAGCTGATATCAGTACTTTCCTCTAGAGAAAGGAGAAACTGGGTTAACTGGGGACATTGTCAAAGGGGACTTTATCGATAATGTTGCAATAGGGAAGAACAAATCTAAATCCATATTGGATATGTTTCTTTTGCTTTTAACCTTTGTATTCTATTGCTTTTGCTACAAGTTAATGACTTAAAGAATGTTGCCTATAGCCCAAAGCATGCAGGATAGCCCATTCTTAATGTTTCGACCTTTAAAGGTGTAACACTTTTCCATTCACATAGAGGTAAAAAGTTGCAGTACAGGGAATAACATTTATCTTGTTGGAGGTTTATAAGAACACTGTGATCAGACCTCCATAGACAGCTGCAAGAACAAAGGATTCTGGCACTAAGAAGTTTGCAACAACCAACCACACCCCTCACCCCTTTCAGTATAAAAGAAACCTGATTCTCACTTGAGTAAGATGGCTCTTTGGGACACCAGTCCACCATCTTCTCAGCCTGCTGCCTTTCAGAATAAGCTTGCTATTCCTTGCCCCAGCAAGTCATCTCTCACAGTACAAGCCTGGACTTGGTAATGATGTTATTTTTATTTTCACATGATTTATTTAGTAATGCTTGTATAATTAAAAATTACTACGACAACCTATTTGTCTTCTCTCAGAGAAAGACACCTAATGGGTTGATTAAGGATTACAAAAATAATTCACATTTTGAAGTCAAAGTGAAGAAAGGAAAGATTGTTCCATATAAAAATATTATTTTAATAAAACTGAAATTTTGTTTCTATTTGAGGTAATAATTCAGACTGCTTTTAACATTTATTTTAATTATTAATGAAAAACACCAATCTGATCTGAAATTTGTTCTTAGATTTCTGCATCCCCCCTTTTAAAACTGCTTTGAAGTTTTTCAATTTCTAAGAAGGTTCCATTCCTCAGGTGTTTGTTATTAGTAGTTGGGCAGAAATGATATAATATTATTTTCCTTTTGTACTATATTTATTCACAGCCAGGATCAATCTGCATAAATCAACACTGTCTCTTTTACAATTTTTAATAGTTTATGTCAATTTGTTAAATTATGAAAGACACTTTTGGTCTACTAGCTCAACTAATGAATTATGCATCAATCAGTTTTCATCTTGATTAATATTTAAGATATATTGGCAAATTCTCCATTACAGACCACTGACCTGCACTGAAACATTATGCTCTCTCTGCTTTTCTCTCCAGGCAGGAGAACAAACTGATGACAATATATATCTGAGAATCACAGTAGGGACAGAACATTGATTAGGCAAATAGTTTACAGGTGTTGCTAAGAGCTGGGAGAGGCTACACATAGATCAGGGAACTTTAAAATAGTGGCTGTCAAGCTTTAGTTTACATCAGAATCACCAAAGATCTCTTTAAAATCCAGATTCCTGGATCCCATTCTCAGACAAAATGGGTCAGGTGGGTTATGGGCTGTACATTGAGAAGCATTGCTGGAGCCCGACTGGTAGTTACTGCTGCTTGCCAAATGTTGGTTTCAAGGGCCACCCTGGTCCAACGTATATTGTTTTTCTTCTTCACCTGCCCAGAGATTAGGAAACCAAAGATACCATGCTTGGGGAAGGAGCTCAGGGTGCTGAAGTACTGAGAGCCTTTGGAATGGTTGGTTCACATGTGTCCAGGTTAAGAACTTTGCACATCCTTGAAAAATGAAATAAAGAACAGGGCAAGTAGGTCTATAGACTTTTATTTCTCACATCCTCACACTAAGCATTGGGTTCCCATGAGGACTTGCAGCCCTTTATGCACTCAGTGAGATGACTTTTTTTTATTGAAATGGACCAGGCTTGATCTTCAGGAGCTCACATTCGTGCATTCTTTTGGGTGACAGCTATTTTATTTCATAGTTAAAATTATGATTATCTGTCCTAGGTAAGAAATCTGCATGCTAGGCATGGTTACCAGAATAATGCCCTTCTTCCCCGCAAAGATACCCATGTCTCAATCTGTAGAACGTGTAAACATGTTATGTTATGTGGCAAATGGGAATTAAAGTTGCAGATGGAATTAAGGTTGCTCATCAACCAACTTAAGATACAGGATTATCCTGAATTCCCATGTGGCCCCCGTGTAATCACAAGGGTCCTTAAAAGCAGATGAGGGAGGCAGAAGAGAAGGTCAGAGTGATGCAATATAGGAAGGATTCCAACTGGCATTGCTGGCTTTGAAGATGAAGGAAGGGGTACCACTAGTCAAGGAGTGTGGGAAGCTTCTAAACTGGAAAAACAAGGAAATAAATTCTCTCCTTGAGCCTCCGGGTAGGAATGCAATCTTGATGACATCTTGATTTTAACCCCGTGAGACTTTTGTCAACTGTACGATAATGAATTTGTATTGGTTTAAGCCACTAAGTTTGTGGTAGTTTGTTATAGCAGTGAGATAGGCTGGGACCTGGGATCCTCTACTGGAGTGCTTGCACTTGTACCTGCCCAAACATCTCCTGGAGCAATAGAATACAAAGAAACTATAAGGGACTAAAAATAACTACACACATGTGCAGTTGGGGCAACTATGAACTCTAAGACACAGAAAGGCAATAAACCACTAAGACACAGAAAGGCAACAAACCAATGGCCATTTCTGAGGTGCCCAGGGCAAAAGCAGGGTACTGCACATGGTCTCTGCACACAGCACCACCAAGGCAGCAGGCAGACCACCTGAGCTATGCCTCCTGCCCAACCCACTTATCTGTAAACCTACCCTCACTCCATTGAAGGAACCAGCTCGTCCAGCATCTGGGAGTGAGCAAGGGCACCTGTTTCTTGTTTTCACTCCCTCCTGCTGCAGCATGAATCCCATTAAAGCCTTGCCAGGATTTCTCATCTGGCTTCTTATCAATTTCTATTGATTAAAGAGTCCAAGGACCTGGGTCAATAACAGCAGCAATAGGAAACATGCATTAGGTGAGGCTTCTTGGAATCATAGCACCTTCATCTAAAACAGTGATTTTTTTCCCCCATTGGAACATTAGTCATTATGGAAGACAAGTTTGGGAGATACTTGGAGGCACACAGAAGCCTGATGAGGTCCCTCAAATCCCAACCTACATGATAAGAGTATCTATCCAAGCATTCCTCTCCAATGACAGCAACCTTGACCTGCTCCCTGGGCCCCCCTCCCACTGCCAAGCTCTCACCAATGCATTTCACATTCACTTCTGTGGTTGCCTGTGATTCTGAGCCCCCTCTGCCTTCTCCACCCAGCAGCTTTCTACATGCACCCAATGCAATGTTTCTGCACCAACAGAAGGAATTCTATACAAGTCCTTTCTCTTACAGAGAATAAAGAAGACTCCTTTGCCCTAGGAAAATGGTAGGTTAGGTGCAATGAGGTCAGATATAGGAAGAAACAGAACTTGAAACTCACCATTTTAACTTTCTTGGCTCCTGTGACAGACTTCCAGATTTGGTGTTTCCTTGGTTAGGCTTCTCAGAAAAATAGGTTCCACATTTGTAGAAGAATTAGTTCTAGTTTTTTCTGCAAGCGCTTTGATTAAAAATAAATAGAAGAATGTCTCTTTCTGGGGGGAAGAGTTAAGCCAGAAAGGCACATCTTTTGCCCACCTTTGCCCCCCTTTGCTCCCCTCCTTCTTGTTACTTGGGCAGAGCAGCTGGACACACTGGTGGGTGTGGGAGGTTAGCACATAGTTACAAGTGGGTGACCCTTCCCCCTGGGAACCTTCCTTCCCTGGCCAGCCAAGCCAGCTTCCTCTCTCTCCTCCCTTGAGGAGGTAATTAGGTTTCTTTATTTATTCATTTTAATGGAGTTACTGGGGATTGAAACCAGGACCTTATGCATGCTAAACACACTCTCTGCCACTGAGCTGTACCCTCCCCACCTGCTCTCTCTTGGGGTACTCGGAACCCGCACTACCTGGCAGCATCCAGCAGTCCACACAGCACTGCACAGTGTATGCCTTCTTTTCCTTTTTTTCCCCCAGACTCAGTGGAGAAAAAGGCTGCCTATGCATTTCTGTTCTCTCAGCCTCCAGTATGTAGCCTGTTGCGGGATTGATGCACATAAACGTTTTGAGGAGGGAAGCCCCACAAAAAGACCGGCAGGACCCCTAGGCAGGGCCACTGCTCTCCTCCCAGCACCGTCGGGTTCCCTGGCCCAGAGGCTCTATCTCGCTTTTTGCCTCTAAAGCAGCTAACTTACACCTAGAATTCTATTGGTTCCCTGAGCTCATTTCTGATTATTTCCTTTACTCCTGAATGGTTATTACTCTCACTTCTGATTGGTCCACTTCCCTAACTTCTGATTGGTCCATTTGTAGTACTTCATTTGCATGGAGCTCACTCCTGATTGGTTATTTCTCTTGCTCCTGATTGGCCCATTCCCCTCACTCCTGATTGGTTATTTCACTCCCTCCTGATTGGTCTATTTCTACAAAGCTTGTTCCTGGTTGGTCAACTTCTGTTATACTTTATTTGCATATGATGTTGCAAAGTGTAAAACTGGCAGCCTATAAAAGGCCTGTGTAAACCTACAGACGCGGTGCAGAGCTTGGAGTGTTAACTCACGTGGGCCTGGTGGTGTAATAATTGTGAGTTCTTTAACTCTCTGAGTGCTGCTTGGTCTTTCGTCTGGATCCAGGTTGCTGTCACCACTGAGTTGTAAGACCGAGCTGTAACACGTTTTTCCACAACAGTTTAAGGAACGGAAGAGCGGACGGACCTGAGGTTTTATGCGAGGTTGCAGCGGCAGTGAGAGAGTAGGAAGCAGTGTGTCCAGAAGAGGTGGGTGGAGCTCTTTCTAAAGTTTCTCCTGGGAGATATAAGCAGCGCATAATTTTTCTTTTTACACAGGAGCACTGCTAGGTTATTCTCAAGTTTCCTTATGGTTTAATCAGTAACTGATCTAAGGATGCTCTAGTCCCTTGGGGGCTGCTGCTTGTGACTCAGCACATTTTGCTTTGTTCCAGGGGATGCCCGGCACTTCCCAGGCATCCAGGTGTCAGTTAAGATTTGATAATTTTTAGTAAGCGGCAGGAATAGACTCCTTTTCCTACAGACTGGGGCAGGGATGGAATCTGGACCTCAGCCACTCCTGTGCTGGCCAGATCCACCAGAGCCTCCCACGTGGACCTGGGTTTAGATCCACCCCTAGAGCAGTCAGGGTCAGACCGCATCCTCTGGAATCCATTCGACTCTTGTCCCTTCTTTGTCATCCCAATAGGACACCCAGATCTCTAGCTCCTTGAAATCCTGGTCTCTTGGTCTATTTGATGCTTTTCTCCTAACTGTACGGTATAATTTTTCTTTTTGGAGAACCTTGAAATGTGAGGACAAAGTCTTAAGTTCAAAGAATTTTTAAATTGCTGGTGAAAATAGTTGTTCAGAGCATGAGCTTTGGCTTAAATAGGTCTGAGTTTGGATTCCAGCGGTATAACCATAAGCAAGTCTGGCAGTCACTTTTTATGGATCAGTCCATCCACTTGTTCCTTTATTAGTTACTTCCTCAAAAATATTTATTAACCATTTACCCTGTGCTAGGTGTCAGCTGTTCCGGCCTCCGTGTTCAGGTGTCTGCTCTCACGAAACTTACAGGTCCCTGGAGGAAGGCAGATGTTAAACAGATACTCACACCGATAATTACGTACACCATTAAGCACTGGAAAGGGAACACACAGGGAGCAATGAGGATATTACAACAGGAGAATCCAAACTAGGCTGGTGAGACAGGGAGTACTGAGATGGGAAGTATGCAAAGGAATTCACCTGACAAACATGAGGAAGGATTCCAGCTGGAGAGAGCAGCTTGGGCAAGGATCCTGGGGCAGGACCTTCTGTGAGAGAAGAAGGCTGGTGTGGTTGGACATGGAGTCATGGGTGAGAGCACGTTGGGAGACGTGGCTGGAGGTGGGAGCCAGGGGTAGGGGCTGGTAGAGATGGTGAGAACCTTGCATTCTCGTTCAAGAGCCCTGAAAGTTTTAAGCGGGTAAGAGACACGATCAAATCTAGTTTTAGTGTTTAAAGCTGTGGCTCTGGCTGATGTGAGAAGGCCAGACTAGAGTGGGAAAAGAAGTGTTGGGGCCGGGTATAGCTCAGTGATAGAGCGTGTGCCGAGCATGCATGAGGTCCTGGGTTCAAGCCTCAGTACCTCCATTAAAAAAAAAAAAGCTAAAATGAATAAACAAACATAATTACCCTCCCCCATCACCCTTCCCCCACCCCCAAAAATAATTGATGGAGAAGGAAAAGACCCAAGGAATGTCAGTGGCTCCGTGGTTTCATGCAGCAGCCAGTTAATTTCAGGACTTTTTTTCTCTCTGCTTGGGACTTGTTCACTTTGTGGCTCTGCTCTGTTCTCTACAACACAGCCTGCCAGGAATTTTCTCTTTCTCCTCTGGATGTCCTCGGTGTTCTGTTGGGATTCTACACTCCACCAGTAAGCCAATGAATTATTAAAAATAATTTGTTTTCCTAAAGATGGTATTTGGTCTTGATGCAGATGTTTTGTGAGGTATAAGGAAACCAGACTGGTGCCCACAACTCACGAGGTATGGGGCCCAGGGCCCATCGCCCGTCCCAAGGGCCAGCAGCCAGAAAATCCAGTCTCTGCCCCTGAACGGGAGGCAGAGGCAGCTGACTTATCTGCTCGGTACATCCTCACCGGCTAGAGCCTGTGTAGGAGGTGCCACCAGCATCATGCCCCCACTCCCACCCCCACCCCCACCAACTGCCAGCTGCCAGGGAAGCCCCATGCCTCACACTTGCCCAGGGTCCTGCAAGAAGGTCAGCAGTATTCTCTGCCCCCTGGGGCCTGAGTTCATTTATATACTTGTTCAAGTGGAGGACCAGGAATGCTGAGGTGAGGCTGAGTTCATATCAGGAGCTGTGAAAGGGCCCTGGGCCACCTCCTTCCTTGGTGGTTGGCCTAAGAATGCTCACTACTCTCTGTCTCCACCCTGATGGCTCCTTGATTTCTTCTGTTGTGGAACTTCTGCCTACCGACTAGGAGGACTGCTGGAATTAGAAAAGGGTGAGGGAGGGAGCAGGCCATCCTAAATAAAGTCACTTCTTCTGCCCATGATCCTTTTCTTACTTACTTCCTGTTGAGGGCTGCTGGCAGGACTACCCAAGGTCTTCTGATTTTGTTTGTGCACATTGTTCCTCATAACTGAGCATTCTTAAGTACCCCTGGATAGAGATTGGCAGAATAATAGGGGGGAAAAAAGAGAGCAACTCAGGTAAATTAAGGAATGTTAATAAGGGGTCAAACGTTTTTCAGAAGGTAGGTCTCCTGAAAAAGGGAGGGAACCAAAGGGGACATTAGAAATGTTGCACTGGACATGATGGTTGGATGCAGAGCCCTTTGCCAGGTGGCATCTGAGTGAGCCCTGAGGCTGCTGGTCCTTTTTGGGGCAGTGTGCTTCTGGCTGACTGGGATCAGCTGTGCCCACGCTGGACACCAAGGCCAAGGAGGTCTTAGGCACTGAAGTCTTGGTCCAGCACCAGGGTTCTCTGAGCAGACGCCATTGCCACAACCACCAGCTTCTGCAGGAACAAAACAGGATCCAGTAAAAACGGCTAATAAAGAACTCTTAAGTGTGCCGCATATTAACTTAGAGTTGTTAAAGAATTTAAATCTGAAATAGAACTGGGGATATTAAATGGAGAATCTCATGCATATGCCCTCGGGAATATAAAACTTCAGGACTAAGAGACTGATTTCCTGTAAATGCCTGATTTACAGAAAACTGATAATGTCACAGTTTTCTCAGATGATGGGGGGGTTGATCAGAGATTGTCTCCTATCAACCTTGGGAGGTTTTACCAGAGGCCTGGGCAGGTCTCACAAAGTGGGCTGAGTTGAGTTGAGCTTTGGGTGCCTGGTTTGGTTTCGTCCGCAGGGGAAGTTTTCAAGGCGGGTCTCCTTTGTTTTTTGACTTTGACTCTAACTGAACTCTTTCCACTTCACATTCTCTGCCCATAAAAACAACCTGCCCCAAACCCTCAACGGACTTGCCTGTAGCTTGCCACAGTTTGTTCATCCAGAATTGCAGTTACTCTGCTGTTCCTGAACAAAATCATCTTTTTGAGTTTGCCTCAGTTTCCCTCTTTATTTAGGTTGACACAGTTAATATATATAATCCGACGATGTAACTACTGTTGACCCTTGAACAACGTGGAGGTTAGAGACGCCAACTCTCCACTCCCTACAGTTGCAAATCTGGGTGTAACTTACAGTCTGTGTATAGCTGATAGCTCCCGCATTCATGGTTCCTCCATATATGCAGTTCTGCACCTGCAGATTCCACCCCTGGCCTATTGTGTAGCACTATAGCATATACTTAGTGAAAAAGATGTGAGTATAAGCGAGACCTGTGTGGTTTGAATTGTGTTGTTCAAGGGTCAATTGTATTGTTATTACCCCCATTTCACAGACGAGGAGACTGAAGCACAGAGAAGTTAAAGAACTAGTTGCAGGCAGGCTAGCTCCAGAGCCCTGGCCACACTCTCCTGACTGCAGGTAGTGCCTGAAGCCCTGCTGGTCAGATCCAGCTTCCAGGAGTCCCAGACACCCGCTTCCAAGATGGAGTCTCAGCCCAGCTTACTTTTGAAGCCTCAGTCTAATAGCCTGGAATAGCCTTATTAACATTAGTAACAATAGGGAACATTTATGGAGCACTTTGTATGTACCAGGCATTTTTTAAACTCTTGATGACAAATCTGCATCACAGATGCACAAGGCAGGTATTGATAACATCCCCACTTTCAGTTAAGAAAGATGATGCTTAGGGAAGGTAAGTTACCTGTCCAAGGTCATGGGACTGGCAGGTGATAAGGCCTGACTTGGTTGGTATGTTGAATCATCATGCAGTGCAGACCACAAAGGTGGTCACATCTGTCATGGCTGGGGGAGGTCTTAGGCTGTGGGGTCACCTGACAGGGCCATATGTTTTGTAGTCAGACAGACCTGAGCTTAAATTCTGACTCTATCAGTAGTTGTGTGACTTGGGAATGCTACTAATGTTACTTAACCTCTTGGAACCTCAGTTTCCTCTTCTGTGACCTGGGTCTAATTCTACCTTCCTCATTGCTGGGTGATTTGAGATCAAAAGAGATAATGCTGGATTTCCTAAA